CCCCTTCGCCTACTCCCCACCTGCACCCCATCGCCCGCTCCCCCACGCCTGCTTTGTTCCCCGCACGCCCTCCGCCCCCCCCGCCCCCGCAGCCCGCTGTTCCCGCACACCCACGGGCAAACACGCGGGCGCGGGAGGTCAGAGCCCGTGGGGCACAGATGGCCGGGATTTCCTCGGATAGAAATAGCAGGGCCCAAGCTGCTTAGGCGGCCGGGCGCACCCCGCACCCACCCGCGCGGCCCGAGCCCCGAATCTGGGGCTGGCGCTCCCGGCCCTCCCCCCCCTCCCCTCCTCCCCGCCGGGCTCCCCACAGCCCCGGGCGGGCGAAGGTCGCGGGCTTCCTTGCTCCCAAGGCCTGGAGATAACTGCGGCTCTCTCTCCTCTAGGGGCCGCCTGCGGAACTTGAGGCCATGTCCCATGAAAAGAGTTTCTTGGTGTCTGGGGACAACTACCCTCCCCCCAACCCCGGGTTTCCCGTGGGGCCCCAGCCTCCTATGCACCCCTACCCGCCCTATCCTGGCACTCCCTACCCTCAGCCCCCTTTCCAGCCCTCCCCCTACGGTCAGCCAGGGTATCCTCACGGGCCCAGCCCCTACCCCCAGGGGGGCTACCCTCAGGGTCCTTACCCCCAGGGGGGCTACCCACAGGGCCCCTACCCCCAGGGGGGCTACCCACAGGGGCCGTACCCCCAGAGCCCCTTTCCCCCCAACCCTTATGGACAGCCACAGCCCTTCCCGGGCCAGGACCCTGACTGTGAGTATGGAAAGGGGCGGGGCAGGGCAGGGTCGCAGGCACCCTGGGGTGCCCTGACCCAGCCCCCTGTGCCGTGCCCCCAGCACCACAGCACGGCAACTATCAGGAGGAGGGACCCCCATCCTACTATGACAACCAGGACTTCCCTGCCACCAACTGGGACGACAAGAGCATCCGGCAGGCCTTCATCCGCAAGGTGTCCGCAGTCCCCCATGGGGGGGGGGGCTGGAGGCTGGGCCCGTTCTGACTGGCTCCCTCCCCAGGTGTTCCTGGTGCTGACCCTGCAGCTGACGGTCACCCTGTCCACCGTGGCCGTGTTCACGTTTGTCAAGGAGGTGAAGGGCTTTGTCCGAGACAATGTGTGGACCTACTACGTCTCCTACGCTGTCTTCTTCATCTCCCTCATCGTCCTCAGCTGCTGTGGGGACTTCCGGCGAAAGCACCCCTGGAACCTCGTGGCACTGGTAACCTCCAAGCCTGAGCCAGGTCCCTCGGGCTGGTAACGCAGGGACAGGCAAGAGTGTGGGGCAAGGGCATGCTGCCTGCGTGCCCAGCACCCCCGGCCTCTCCTCCCACAGTCCATTCTGACCGTCAGCCTGTCCTACATGGTGGGGATGATCGCCAGCTTCTACAACACCGAGGCCGTCATCATGGCAGTGGGCATCACCACGGCGGTGTGCTTCACGGTGGTCATCTTCTCCATGCAGGTGAGTGGCCCCCTCCCCCCTACCTGAGCCAGGGCTTGGGCTCTGGGGCCCAGAGGCCCTCCAGGGCCCTCCCAGCCTCTGCCCTCTCCTAGACGCGCTATGACTTCACCTCGTGCATGGGTGTGCTCCTGGTGAGCATCGTGGTGCTCTTCATCTTCGCCATCCTCTGCATCTTCATCCGGAACCGCATCCTGGAGATCGTGTACGCCTCGCTGGGCGCCTTGCTCTTCACCTGTGTGAGTGGCGGGTGAGGCGTCCTGGGCAGGGTGGGGCAGGCAGGCTGCCCGTCGTTACTATGGTGCTTTGTTGCCCCAGTTCCTGGCCGTGGACACCCAGCTGCTGCTGGGGAACAAGCAGCTGTCCCTGAGCCCGGAAGAGTACGTGTTCGCGGCTCTGAACCTGTACACGGACATCATCAACATCTTCCTGTACATCCTGACCATCATCAGCCGGGCCAAGGAGTAGCACCGGCCCGAGGTGGGCGTGGCTGGCCGGGACCCCACCCCTGACGTGACAATGCCACCTGTGTTTTCTCCTCTGCTCCCCAGGCACAGCTTGGGCAGACAGAGCCCCTTCCACCCCATGTGTGGGCCCGCCGTGGCCGCAGCATGGCCTCTGCAGTCCCCCTTCCCCACCCAGGGGCCGTGGGGCTGCGGCTCTGTGCCGTCTTTTGTCCCCTCACTGTTGCATGAGCCCTGTCTGTCCCCCCCCCCCCGGGGGCAAAGCCAAGCTCCCTGGGGAGATGCAGTGAGCCAGAGGTGAGGGTGCACGTCTTTCCTCCTGTCCCAGCCCCCAGCCTGGCCTAGAACACCCTTTCCCTCCCCACCCTGGAGCCCTGCCCTCGGGGGACATGCAGGGTGGGGGTCTCATTCCTGTGCTGAGCCCTGAGAGCAGAGGCTGGTGTGTTTCAGGGAGAAGGAAGCCTTCCTTTCGTGCTGCTGTCATTAAAATCCCAATAAATGGTACCTTCTGCTCTCTGCTTCCCCCAAGCCTCCTCACGCTTCTTCCATGAGGTGGGGAGGGTGCCGCGGGCGCGCCCACTGGGGAGCCCACGAGAGGCCTGGCGTGGGTCAGCAGCCGGCGCCTGGTCTGTTTTTTGTCTGAGACCAGGACTCTGTACCTGGCGTGTTCCCTCATTGGCTGACGCTCTACCACGTGAGCCATGCCTCCAGAAGCCAGTGCTCTGCTCCTGCGTCCACCTCCTTCCTTGCCATCTCCTCGGCTGCATTTTCACGTTGGACAGGGACCCTGAGTCTGTCACATGTGGCAAGTGACATGCCCCCGCTGTGGGCCCTGTGGAGTATCCCGTCATTCCCCCAGACCCAGGCCAGCGCCAGGCCAGACCCAGACACACCCCTGACAGTTGCTGGGAGGCAGCTCTGCCGCCCCAGCCCTTGGCCTCACCCTCCGTATCTGGTGCCCGCACCTGGCGCTGGCTTGCAAGCCAGGGCTCAATGAAGGGACATGGCCTGTTTTTGCACACTGCCTGCTTTGGAACCGAGGCTCTGGAGTGTGGACCCCACAGGTCAGCCAGCCATCCAAATTCTCACCCACTCCACAGGAGGGACCTCGGTGCCCAGAGCCCAGGGCTGAGTCCCCTGCGCTCCCACAGAGTCCTCGGGCCCAAGCCCGCCCTGCATCTGCCGGGCCCTCGAAGCCCTGGCCGGCTGCAGCACCCAGTGAGCCCATCGGTGCCGCCTGCTGAGCCGGGGCCAGGACCTTCCCACAGCAAGAGGCCTGTATGCCACCCAGGCCCCAGGCATAGCCCAGCCTCGGCCTGCTGCTCCTGCATTATCTCCCCAGGCCAGAAGGGGCTGTGCTCCCCCTCTTCCTTGGCTCCTCTCCCTACGCAGCTTCCTCTGCCTTGCTCAGCATCACGACGCCTACCAACCTGTCCTGTGAGACATGGGCCACATGATCTGCTTGCAAAGACACTCCCCAGGCCCCGTCAGGATGGCCCCTGGGCCCCCGCTCTGCTCATGGCCGCCCCGCTGCCCGGAGTCCCGCTCAGCCCCAGCTCCTACCTCCCAACCTGAGCCACAGGGAGAGTTTCTGTGAGGGTGGTGTGCACACAGCCCAGTTCCTCATCCAGGGCACAGCCACAGAGGCCAAGCATGCTGATGAGAAGCCTTGCGCTGGCTGCCACGTCCCTTGGAGTGGAGGGACAGCTGGGGTCTAGAGATAATGGGACAAGCAACAAAGGGATCCAGAAAAAAAGTCCTACTAGCAGAGGGAGGCCAGCGGCTGTGGTGACGTGCACGTAACCCAGGCTACCCAAGAAACAGAACCAAGAACCAGTTCAAAGCCAGCCCAAGCAGAAAAGTCTTGACGCTTTATCTCCAATAAACCAGCAAAAAGGCAGAAGTGGAGGTGTGTGGCTCAAGTGATAGAGCTCTAGCCTTGAGCAAAAATGCCAAGCAAAAGCTTGAGACTCTGAATTCAAACCAAAAAGAGGAGCTGGGAATGGGCTTAGTGCTTGCCTAGCACGCATAAAGCCCTGGGTTTGATTCCTCAATACCACATACACAGAAAAAGCCAGAAGTGGCGCTGTGGCTCAAGTGATAGTGCTAGCCTTGAGCAAAAGCAGCTCAGGGACAGTGCCCAGGCCCTGAGTTCAAGCTCAGGACTGACAACAACAACAAAAGAAGAAGAAAAAAGGTGAATAGGGTGGGGCACAGCAGAAGCCGTGGAGAGCAGGTGCTGGGGAAGATAAGTCCAGAGAGACGCACCGCACCGCGGAGGCGCTGAGGGGTCAGGAAGCTGTAAGCCAATGGAGAGGTGCACAGACATCCATGCAGCAAGCCCTGACACTGGGGGCAGGGTGAGCACCCCCTCGGGGAGACCAGCACCCGAAGGCTGGGGAGATGAGCAACAGGGGCTCATGACAAGAGCACACCTTAACAGAAAAGCTCGTGCACACGTGATAAATCCTCTGGTTCTCAACACAAACAGCAGAATCGGTGGAACCCGATCTTCACATCTCTATCTACACCTTCCCACCCTGCAGAGGAACGCCGCCGCCAGGCTTGTTGAAAGCCCGGTGAGGGCCTGGCCAGGAGCCTGTCTCCTGTGCCCCGGGCCACAGCCTCTGGCTCACCAGGTCCAGTGTTGGAAGTATCTTTCGGATGAGCCCAGGGCCTATCACAGCACAGAGTCAAAGAGAATAAACTGTGCACAGCATGAGCCACATAGGCACCAATGCCTCGGGATCAGGAGGGTTGGGGCGGCGGAGCTCTGGAATTTGCCTCAGCCTTCATGCCAGTGAGGAGGTAGGTCAGGAGCAGCAGCCGCAACACAAAAGGCCAACGGGACGCACAGAGGCACAGTTGTGGGCACCGCCCAATGGAAGGGGCAACTCGCGAGACAGCCTATCGGAGTCGGGGCCACCTGCAGACGGCCACAGCACGAGTGCTCAAAACTCCAAAGTGTGCTTCTCAGTGAAGACCCCCAAGTGCTCTGAGCAGAGACAGGATGATGGGCAAGGACCCCATAATGCACACAAGGCAAAGAAGCCAAGTGGCGCTGGGGCTCAAGTGGTAGAATGCTAATCTTGAGCTGAGGGACAGCGCCCAGGCCCAGAGTTCAAGCCCCAAGACCAACAACAACAAAAAAAAGACAATAGTAAACTGGACACCAGTGGCTCACACCTGTAATCCTAGCTACTCAGGAGGCTGAGATCTGAGGATCGAGGTCCAAAGCCAGGAAAGTCCATGAGACTCTTATGTCCAATTAATCACCAGAAAACTGAAAGTGATGCTGTGGCTCAAGTGGTAGAGTGCTCGCCTTGAGCTGAAGAGCTGAAAGACAGCATCTTGGCCCAGAGTTCAGGCCCCACAACCAACCAATTAAAAAAAAAAAAGACAATACCAAGCTGGATGCGCCAGTGGCTCATGCTTATAATCTGGGCTACATAGGAGGCTACATAGGATCTGAGGGTTGCTGTTGGAAGCCAGCCTGGGCAGGAAAGTCCATGAGACTCTTACCTCCAATTAGCCACCAAAAAAACAGAAGTGGAGCTGTGGCTCTACTAGCCTTAAGCAAAAAAGCTCAGGGACAATACTCAGGCCCTGAGTTCAAGCCCCAGGACCAGCACCAAAAAAAAAAAAATACTAGCAAGAGTAAAAAAAATTTTTTTTTTTTT